CACACCACCCTCCCGCCATGTCATACCATCACACCACCACCCTCAATGTCACACAGAGGGGTTGGTCTGCTGTACGGTGGAGGTATGTGACAAATGTGGGTAAACCCTCCCCCACAGCGACAAGGCCAGAAGGCTATCTGGCTACAAACAGACCCGCTGAAAACATGAGACTTTGATACCCCATTATGCCGATGTATCAAAGTGCCACACAGTTTGTTCATGTGTGTGCCTCCTGGGGAATCCTTGTAGTCCCCTGACAGTACTCATCAAACACATGTATAGCACATACAATACCAGCTTAGTAAATGTCTAACAGGAGTAAATCTTACACACTCAAATCATTTTGCAAATTGTTATAGTAATGTACAAGACTGATTTTGCTAGTACATGGATGCAGTGCATATGGTGTGTCCAGTGCAATACACCCATGCCACCTTCACCCAGACCCTTGTCCAACCATCTTCACCCAGACCCTTGTCCAACCACCTTCGACCAGACCCTTGTCCAACCACCTTCACCCAGACCCTTGTCCAACCACCTTCATCCAGACCCTTGTCCAACCACCTTCACCCATACACCCATAACCTTGTCCAACCACCTTCACCCAGACCCTTGTCCAACCTCCTTCACACAGACCCTTGTCCAACCACCTATATCCCTATCCCCAATCCCTGCTCTCATCTGGCCACCATCACCCCAACCCTATTCCCCATCCTATCATCCTCAAACAGCTTCAGCCCCAAGGTCTACCCCCATGATCTACATCCCCATTCAGTCTGTCCACTGTGTGTAGATTACTATGTGCTCACTCATGCATGAGCCTTGTGAATCTCTCATCCGTCTATTGGGCTCTATAATCCCAGAAAGACAATGGGGATTGCCCTCGCAGGTAGACAGCCACACAAGCAGACAAACTATTTTGGTTTTGTTGACAGAATTACGATTGTTCATTTGTGTCTATAGCGTTTTATACCTGAATATCATTTCATATTTGAATGTGAAAAGGTTTAGTGCCTGACTGGGCGCTAGTGTTAAGACATGAAGCCTCTGTTAACACAGAGTGGCCTGCTTGTGTAAGGGATTAGGTATTAGTGTCCTATTGGAATAACCTTGTATTGACATGTGTAATCTTAATTGTAGAGGTCTTTATTAATGTTTAGGACATGGGTTTAACTGTTGCTAACACAGGTGTCACTATCCACTTGTAGCTGTACACACACTACAGATGACACAGATAGCATTAAACACCCCATGAGACAGGGTGAGGCCCCTGCTGGAACATAACATGCATGTGTTGCTTGTGATGTAAATTCATACAATGCAAATTATGAATTGTATATATTAGATGTTCATGTATATATTCACAATACCTTTAATTACATGCCTGTCAGTAAGGAACCATTGAGATCATGTTTGATCTGCATGCTCAGCTTTCACTCATACTGGTGCAACTATGCAAATGTCACCTGCCATTTTTGGCAACAAGTCTCCGTTCTAGCTGATCATCCGTGTGAAGGAGGTTGTCACCATGCTCAGACTAGGTGAAGGAGGTTGTCACCATGCTCAGACTAGGTGAAGAAGGTTGTATCCATGCTCAGACTTGGTGAAGGAGGTTGTCACCATGCTCAGACTAGGTGAAGGAGGTTGTCACCATGCTCAGACTAGGTGAAGCACCATGCTCAGACTAGGTGAAAGAGGTTGTCACCATCTTCAGACTAGGTGAAGGAGGTTGTCACCATGCTCACACTAGGTGAAAGAGGTTGTCACCATGCTCACACTAGGTGAAGGAGATTGTCACCATGCTCAGACTAGGTGAAGGAGGTTGTCACCATATTCAGACAAGGTGAAGGAGGTTGTCACCATATTCAGACTAGGTGAAAGAGTTGTCACCATGCTCACACTAGGTGAAGGAGGTTGTCACCATGCTCACACTAGGTGAAGGAGGTTGTCACCATATTCAGACTAGGTGAAAGAGGTTGTCACCATGCTCACACTAGGTGAAGGAGGTTGTCACCATATTCAGACTAGGTGAAGGAGGTTGTCACCATATTCAGACTAGGTGAAGGAGGTTGTCACCATATTCAGACTAGGTGAAGGAGGTTGTCACCATGCTCAGACAAGGTGAAGGAGGTTGTCATCATGCTAACACTAGGTGAAGGAGGTTGTCACCATGCTCACACTAGGTGAAGGAGGTTGTATCCATGTTCAGACTAGGTGAAGGAGGTTGTCACCATCTTCAGACTAGGTGAAGGAGGTTGTCACCATGCTCACACTAGGTGAAGGAGGTTGGCACCATGCTCAGACTAGGTGAAGGAGATTGTCACCATGCTCAGACTAGGTGAAGGAGGTTGTCACTATATTCAGACAAGGTGAAGGAGGTTGTCACCATGCTCAGACTAGGTGAAAGAGTTGTCACCATGCTCACACTAGATGAAGGAGGTTGTCACCATGCTCAGACTAGGTGAAGGAGGTTGGCACCATGCTCAGACAAGGTGAAGGAGGTTGTCTTCATGCTAACACTAGGTGAAAGAAGTTGTCACCATGCTCACACTAGGTGAAGGAGGTTGTCACCATGCTCAGACTAGGTGAAGGAGGTTGTCACCATGCTCAGACTAGGTGAAGGAGGTTGTCACCATATTCAGACTAGGTGAAAGAGTTGTCACCATGCTCAGACTAGGTGAAGGAGGTTGTCACCATATTCAGACTAGGTGAAGGAGGTTGTCACCATGCTCAGACAAGATGAATGAGGTTGCCATCATGCTAACACTAGGTGAAAGAAGTTGTCACCATGCTCACACTAGGTGAAGGAGGTTGTCACCATCTTCAGACTAGGTGAAGGAGGTTGTCACCATGCTCACACTAGGTGAAGGAGGTTGGCACCATGCTCACACTAGGTGAAGGAGATTGTCACCATATTCAGACTAGGTGAAGGAGGTTGTCACTATATTCAGACAAGGTGAAGGAGGTTGTCACCATGCTCAGACTAGGTGAAAGAGTTGTCACCATGCTCAGACTAGGTGAAGGAGGTTGTCACCATGCTCAGACAAGGTGAAGGAGGTTGTCTTCATGCTAACACTAGGTGAAAGAAGTTGTCACCATGCTCACACTAGGTGAAGGAGGTTGTCGCCATGCTCAGACTAGGTGAAGGAGGTTGTCACCATGCTCAGACTAGGTGAAGGAGGTTGTCACCATATTCAGACTAGGTGAAAGAGTTGTCACCATGCTCAGACTAGGTGAAGGAGGTTGTCACCATATTCAGACTAGGTGAAGGAGGTTGTCACCATGCTCAGAATGAGGTTGCCATCATGCTAACACTAGGTGAAGGAGAGGTTGTCACCATGCTCAGACTAGGTGAAGGAGGTTGTCATCATGCTCACACTAGGTGAAGGAGGTTGTCACCATGCTCACACTAGGTGAATGCTCACTAGGTGAAGGAGGTTGTCACCATGGGTGAAGGAGGTTGTCACCATGCTCAGACTAGGTGAAGGAGGTTGTCACCATAATCAGACTAGGTGAAGGAGGTTGTCACCATGCTCACACTAGGTGAAGGAGGTTGTCACCATGCTCAGACTAGGTGAAGGAGGTTGTCACCATGCTCAGACTAGGTGAAGGAGCTTGTCATCATGCTCACCATGCTCAGACTAGGTGAAGGAGGTTGTCATCATGCTCAGACTAGGTGAAGGAGGTTGTCACCATGCTCAGACAAGGTGAAGGAGGTTGTCACCATGCTCAGACTAGGTGAACGAGGTTGTCACCATGCTCAGACTAGGTGAAGGAGCTTGTCATCACGCTCAGACTAGGTGAAGGAGGTTGTCACCATGCTCACACTAGGTGAAAGAAGTTGTCACCATGCTCAGACAAGGTGAAGGAGGTTGTCACCATGCTCAGACTAGGTGAAAGAGGTTGTCACCATGCTCAGACTAGGTGAAGGAGGTTGTCATCATGCTCAGACAAGGTGAAGGAGGTTGTCACCATGCTCAGACCAGTCTATGTTCCGATCACATCTATGTAGTAAGACATCACTCACAGTGAACTAGTATACAACTCATTAGGAGATAAACATACTGTGTTGGATAACGAAATTATAATAGCTCTGAATTTGATTTAAAACCAAATGCGTGTAATGGATTAGAGGGATCATGACTAGGCTTAATCATATTTTCAACGACATAATATTTTTTAGAAAAAATATGTTGGGTTAAACAGAACGGTTTTAATGGTTTGCAGCTTCTGTAATTATATTATACTGCTGCTAAATTTGAAACAGTACATATTTCTCATAAATATATCACTTGTTTTAATGAGAGTCCAACTGTCTATATTTATGGTGGATGGAAGGCTTTTCTTGGGTGTTCAATGTTAATTCATCCTCCATTACCAGATCAAGATCAGTGGCCATGTCGTCAACAAAATCTGATAATAAATTTAATACAGAAATTATGTAGCAGTCTATTGCTTACTCTATTTTGACATAACATAGAATCAACGTAAACATATTTTTCTTGCTGAATTTTTATTCAGAAAGCAGATGATGTTTTCATCTTGTTCGACTGAATATTTGTTTCTATGTTTGTATGTATTAACACCTATTTCTGTGATTTACACAAGTAGTGAGTGCGAGCCCATCATCGCTAAATCCATCTTTAAAGACATATGTAATCTATAGATGTATTGAAAGTTTGTTTGGTGTCCGCCATGTTGGTGGGCAGATGAAAATCGGAAAATCAGAGACCTGTTTAATGTGATTATATACCTCTGAATGACTTTAGTTAACCAATCACAATCCAGTATTTACTGAAGTCATGGTAGAATTTGCATTATTCCTACTTACATTTATTAAACCATAGATCATTTGCTAAAATTCTCAAGGTAATGCAGCAGAGTTGAAGCAATGAAACATGGATAGTTACTCTTGTATATACAGGTCTAATTCTTCTATAATGTATTACCTTGCTACCTCTGCTAACAGTCAGGTGATGCTACTTATTTCTCTGTTACAGAGAAAGTCAAGTTGTCTGCTGGGAATAGGTTGTCGAAGGCCGAGAACAGCCGACGACGCCAGTCTGAGGACATCCCACTGCACAGGCCACAGAGTGTGAAGCAGACAGACTCCAGAAGACTGTCACACGATGCCGCCAGGAGTAAGTTCAGTAATGGCCAGGACCAGCGAAAGGACAGCACAGTGAAACATGTTCATTTGACACGGACTGAGTGCGACTCAAAAGTCAGAGCAAACTACCCAACAGTGGAGATCCAGTTCTCCACAGAGCAGCTGCGACAGAGAGTGAGTCCGGAGGGCAGAAGGTCAGGAGACAGCTCAGACAAGGCTGACAAGACAAGGACATCCTCTTCAGTCTGTACAAGTGTGCCCAAAAAGGCTGTCAAAACATCTTCTGGGGTAGAGGAAGAAGACTTTCTTGCCAAGATTAAAGCTAGGCTTAGTAATCGAGAGAAAGAACACAGTCAGTCCATAACCCCAGGGTCACAGAAAAGCAAAGACAGTATTGAGAATACTGACAAGGGACATACAGCCAGCTCCGGATCCTGCCCATCACATGTTACGGACAGGAAGGGTAATCTCAGTACAACAGCAGATGTACCAGCAAACACCAAGAAGGTTAGTGTAATAGGCAAAGGCAAATTGTTGACATCTTCAAACACTGGACAGTCAGAGACTTCTGATGTAAAGAAAGGCAAAAGTCAGCCATTGAAAGCTGATAAGTCTAATCTAATCATTGACAGAAGGAAGGAACCAACACTGAAATCAAGTTTAACAGTGAAACTAAACTCAGGAGCATCTAGAGGTTTGGATGCAAAGGACAAAGTTAGCGTCGGCAGGGGAACAGATTGTAAGAAAAGAGTCCTCCCACATGTTGACAAACTCAAGTCCAAGGCTGGAAGCGTTGCAGTGAAGACTGACAGTGATCAAAGAACTGTGTTTGATCGACTCTCCCAGGGTAAAGACAGCTCTAATACTGTACCCAGTAAACACAAGGGTAATATTGTGTTGAACCGCTCTACTGTTTCCCCAGTTACGTCTGTGTCTGTGAAAACTATAGCGACTGAAGGTAGCAACCCGGCGCCTAAAGACAAAACAGGCCAACTAGTGAGTGTTTCTACCTCTCCACCCGTCAGTGGCAGCAGCAGCAGCAGCAGCACTAAACACTTGCCAACTACCTCATCCTCTGCCAATGAGAAGGATTCAGGCAGAGATCACAAGTTCAGTGCCTCAACAGATCAATGTGCCAAACAGACCAATGACTCAAACAATGTTGAGTGTTTTGTGGTGAAATCAGACAATTGTGCAGACAAGTATGTGTTTAAGGTTGACCTGAAACCTAAATCAAAAGGACTGAGTCGGTCCCATAGTGATGTTGTTCCACAAACTCGAAGCTGGTTAAAAAAACCCAGTCAGGCAGACTGCAAGCCTTTGAAAAGTTTTGAAAATAGGTCTGATATGGAGAAAGCCTTCATGGATATGCTAGACGATATCGACCATGTGAGCACAGCCTCTGATACTAAACTGTCGGATGTAGAAGTCAGTGATGATGACACTGACCAAGTGACCAGCATGACCAGCTGTATACAGACAATAGCTGAGACTACTGGCACTGAGAGAGATGGCTACACAGGTGGCTAGTGTTGACCAACATGTGGAGCAGAGTAAATCATGGATACTGTTGCGGAACGTCAAGGAAGACCTGAGTGCAATAAAGTTTATAGACGAGAATGACAACAGTGAGGTAAGTACTGCCTGCTTTATGCAGACTGTATAGATATCAGGGTATAGTTGTAGATCTGATTTCTATGTAATATTTGATGGAAAGAGTGTTGTCCTCTAGGTACAAGGCAATCATCTGCCCAATACCATTCTGTCATAGACCATGCAGTTGTGACCATCAGTTGATGGGGGTCATACCTGGTGTTATTTAGTGTTTAGTGTTATTATGTGTTTGTGTTTAGTGTTATGTTAGTGTTATGATATGCTAGTGATATGCTAGTGCAGACAGTGGCAAGACTCAGGAGCATATGGACAATCTCACGTGTGTGGTGACACTTTTAGTTTTTACCATGTCTCACTAATGTAGATATTATCATAATAAAGGTCACAAGGTCAACAAATTCTTGATAAGAAAAAAACCCCAGTGTATTCATTTGAAATGGGCTATTGCCTTAAGAACTTGACCATATGTCTGTCATACATGAGTAAATGTTCCTACTGGGTCTAGTGTCACGACACCTTGACCATTTGTCTGTCAAACATACATTTTTTATGCCAATACACCTTGACCATATGCCTTGACCAAATATTGTTTTAAACAGCTTGATTATTTTATTTTTATTTTTAGGTTATTCTTTGTGCAGAAAATATTTAAATATGTTTATGTTAAGAGCAACATCTTCAAATCAGCTTTCTTTGTTGACGTTTGCAAATGTTGAGCTATGTTTTTTTGTCTTTCACCTTCATTAAAGTAGATGTGAAGCAGATACTTGGCACAGCCCATGAGGCAGTATATAGAGGGGGTTAACTAGGGATTTTATGAGGGCATCTGAGATCCACTGCTGTGACACAATAGCAATCCACATACATTCACTGTTATAGACTAAGATGGGATGTATTGGATATACAGATACTCTAGGCAAACTAAGATACATGTTAGGGATCTTATTATAATGCTGCAGGGCTCATACCTTCAAGTGTGCATAGGGCACTGGACCTGTTTTGCAGCCAAGCAATTTTCAGTTCAAGTGTGTCTGGTGTATAATAACTATCAGGGAAGGCAGCACCACCACATGATAACATTTTTATGAAATAAATGTTGTGTTGTATGGTACAGGGTGAATTTCACGTGCGTTATATACTCACTAGCATACATACTGAATTGTTTCTTGAAGCATACACATGAACGGATTATGATCATAATGAGTTCCAATTGAGGCATTTAAACCATTTTCCAAGGCAATTAATCTCAGGCCTACCAAAGAAAACTTTCCCACTGTGCAGAAAAACTCAGAAAAGCTCACATTAATCGTGGAAATAGCAACATAAACATAATACCTCGCTACTGAAACAGTAAAATGGCAACTTTAAATCGCTAACGCTGCATCATAAAACAAGGAGCCCGCAACTTCGATTTTGTGCATGCGCACATGGAAGAGGAAGGGTCAACCGCATGTTGACATTTTCCAGCTTGGACAAAAGTTACATTCCTTTTTTATGTACTGTAAACGTAGTATATTTCGCGCAGGTTTTATTTTCGCGCTTTTCGCGCAAAACATTTTAGCGCGAAAATTTATACACCGCGAATAAACCTGTCATCCATTCAGTCTAGCCACGCTCGCCCCTGAGTTGTTACCATAACACATCAAGTTTGAAGACAGAAATCTACGGGAATCTTACAATGACGACTGATAGTAGCATAAAGAATCAAACTTAACTGTCGCTGTAATGGATTTCCCAAAACATAATTAAATAATGAGCCAAATCCCATCGCCGAATTGTGTTGTGGCCGCCATGGAAATTGGTCACATGACAGATGGTTTGATACAAAACAGATTACCACGAAACGACTCGGAAAGAAATAATACAGCAGTATTTTATTTATTCATTTAGATACAAACGTTTCATAATGAAGCGAATAGTCACTAACACTCAATCATCTCATTCACAACAATCCGGCTTGTTTGAAATCACTGTTACTGTGTACTAGTATATCGCACAGACAGGGATTTCCTGTGAGTAAGTAATAAATGCCGCCTGACAGGTTCGGCCACTCTGTTTGTTTTCACTGCTATTAGTGGCGGCCAAAGAGACGGCTGGCAGTTCCGGCAATTACTGATTGCGCGAATAATTGACCGCGCGATGTAGTCTAAACTGTCAATTCCGCGAAAATTGCACCACGCGAAAATAAGTACGTTTACAGTATTTCTGTTGTGTTATTTGGCATTTATCATCATGATACTTGTGTGCACATCGTATGAAACGATTGAGAACAATTATTTCGACATATTTAATACTTTTTCTACGCGAGGCGATTCACTGTTGCTCGGAAATTGGAAAGAAGCCCGGATCGTAATTTTCATGTGCAGTAGAGGTCAAAGTTCGCTGATATAAAAATGTCGCCGTTTCATAGTTTTTCGTTGCCGTTTTTACTTTTTCATTAGCGAGGTAATGTGTTTATGTTGCTATTTCCACGATTAATGTGGGCTTTTCTGCATTTTTCTGCACAGTGGGATTTTTTCTTTGGTAGGCCTGAATCTAGTTTTATGAAAACTACATATTAAACACCTAATGCCTTTAAATGTGCACTGGGTTATGAATGGGTTTCATGTTTACTGGCTCTGAAACATTTGAGGAAAAAATCTTTTTAACTGGTTGACCATACTGTTAGCACTTTTAAAGAAATCTGTACTTTTATCAGTGTGACAGCGTCCTCCAAAGTACACATCACTGCACAGTGTTTGGTATATCAGCAGATAGTTGGACTTGTGTATAGGGCACATTTACAGGTGAACATTACGGCTGGCGTGAGATGAATGGAGTCTTCCTGGTGTTACCATGTTAGTGGTACTGTGTGAGCGGAGGAGAATACCTTGAGGTTAAGAGTATAGTCTACACAGCTGCCTTCTCCTCAGTATACACTACAAATGTTCACTGGTAACTTTGGGGTTTGGTACCAGGGGATTATGGAGATTAATTTTAAAGTGATCAATAGTTGATCAAGTGGTGATTGTTGGAGCAGGATGCTAAATTTGGCGAGTACACAATTGTTACACTGCACATGTAAACTGTATCAGATAGATGTGCATACATCAGACACACATATATAACAGTACTTATCTCCTACATCCCTCACCCTGCTGACCGACTGCCCGCTCTCCCTGGCTCCAATACACCAGGCTAAGTACTGTGACATTTATGCTGGTATATCACGGGCCCTCTGTTGTGTATCCAACTGCTGCTGTATGTGCCCCTCCCCGGGACAGTCCTCTATCTCATCCCAGTCCCTGCAGTCATAAATCAACTGATATTTGAGTGTTGGAGAAATGTGACACAGATAATTAGGCCGACATTGTGTTAGTGTGCTGCTGTGTTTAGGGTGTGCCAGACTGTGCCGCCTGTAGCCAGGGTTTGCTTGCTGCGACGGACCAGGTGACCATTGCCATGGACATAGTGCTGCTAGTGGTATAGTAGGTTAGGTTGAGTGTACGCTCAAGTGTTGACCTATCTGTTGCAGGTGGTGGAGACTGTTGACAGAGGCCAACATGGAGAAATGACCAGTGTCCAGCCGGCCACTTCAGGTAATACACTGCTGGGCATCAGCTGCAGACTGGCTGCAGGGAATCACTGTCCAGACCCAGTCATGTTGTAGTTGTAGCTGTGTTGTAGATGACGTCAACGATTGTTTTCAGTGTCATGCCTATTTAGGTATTTAATTCTACTTCGTAATAATTTAATGCTAAGATATGGGACATACTGATCAACACAAGCATAATGTCAGAACTGCCATAATTTGGAATATCGCCCGACCAGATTGGTCACATATTCTCTGACAATGACCCAAAATCTCGGCGACAACTTTAGCAGCTTGCACACACTGTATGTGTACATGGTTTGCTGAACTATTTCATGAAGGTTACTATGGTGACAAGATACTTAGTTATTGCATATGTACGCGAATGTTATTAGATTTCTTATCAAGAATCTCACCTCTGTTTTATTGCCGGTACTACTGACATGAGACAAATAGTGTTATCAATGATTTACCTGATATCTGTGTGCTGCTTCAGGCGTGGTGAGTAGTCCAAGTACCATAGAGGAGGTAGCCTCACATTATGAAGAAAACAACAACGTCGTGGAGAAGTTGACCGTTAATGATGTAGAGTCTGACGTGATGGACAGTTTTGCGGACACTGCTGGTATGCCCAGTGAGTCAGACAGCATGGAGGTGGCCAGCAGCGACAACACTGTGAGTGCCCACATTGGCAGTGACAACGCTGTGAGTGCCCCTATCGGCAGTGCAATAACCTACCAAGAGGATGATGATGGCACAGTGACGGTCCAGCAGGTGACTCAGGATGACCACCAGGATAGAGTAGTGACCGTACGGTCCAAGATATTCCGTACTCCCAGCAATGCCCAGGCTGAGGAGCGGGACACTGTTGTAGAGACATTGTTCACATCGCCTGGTGGAACACAGCTGCAAGAGCGCGATGTGATCAAGACCAAGAAGAAGTTGACATCTCGAGGGTCCAACTACTTCCAGCGCAGTGTGCAGGTCACGAGACGGGTGCGGGACACAGCAGGTGGGGAGGTGGTGGAACAGGACAACTGTGTGGAGTCCGACAACAAGTCAGTCACCAAGGGGCAGTCATGGGGAGACAGAGTCATCACCAAGGTCACCCTGGACAAGCCGAGTCAACTGCAGTCCATGATACAGGAGGCAGCAGATGCACCCAGGAAATCCCATGCTACCCTTGTGCTCAGCAAGCTGAATGTGTCCAAGGCCAGCAGTGGGTATGGGAGTGTGTCCGGGTCAGAGGAGGATGACCGGGAGGAGGTTGTGGACATCCAGCAGAATAGACCTAAAGGTGAGATGTGAAGGTCAAGTAGGTCAGCAATCCAGGTTGTGTGTGTGTGTGCGTGTGCGTGTGCGTGTGCGTGCGCGTAGAGTGTGTGTGTGTTTAGGTGATGTACCAAGACTAAACAACAGCCAGGGAGATACGGCTGTAGATGATGGCTAGGGGAGGTATCGAGACTGTAAACAACAGCCAGGGAGATATGGCTGTAGATGATGGCTAGGGGAGGTATCGAGACTGTAAACAACAGCCAGGGAGATATGGCTGTAGATGATGGCTAGGGGAGGTATCGAGACTGTAAACAACAGCCAGGGAGATATGGCTGTAGATGATGGCTAGGGGGAGGTATGAGACTGTAAACAACAGCCAGGAGATATGGCAGATGATGGCTAGGGAGATATCGGACTGTAGAGGAGATGATGGCTAGGGAGGTATCGAGACTGTAAACAACAGCCAGGAGATACGGCTGTAGAGACTGTAAACAACAGCCAGGGAGATATGGCTGTAGATGATGGCTAGGGAGGTATCGAGACTGTAAACAACAGCCAAGGAGATATGGCTGTAGATGATGGCTAGGGAGAATTCAGACTGTAAACAACAGCCAGGGAGATATGGCTGTAGATGATGGCTAGAGGTATCGAGACTGTAAACAACAGCCAGGAGATATGGCTGTAGATGATGGCTAGGGGAGGTATCGAGACTGTAAACAACAGCCAGGGAGATATGGCTGTAGATGATGGCTACTAAAGGGGGAGGTATCGAGACTGTAAACAACAGCCAGGAGATACGCTGTAGATGATGGCTAGGGAGGTATCGAGACTGTAAACAACAGCCAGGGAGATGGCTGTAGCTGATGGCTAGAGGAGGTATCGAGACTGTAAACAACAAGCCAGGGAGGTATATGGCTGTAGATGATGGCTAGGGAGGTATCTCGAGGAGACTGTAAACAACAGCCAGGGAGATATGGCTGTAGATGATAGCTAGACTGTAAACAACAGCCAGGAGATATGGCTGTAGATGATGGCTAGGGAGGTATCAGACTGTAAACAACAGCCAGGGTAGATGATGGCTAGGGAGGTATCGGGAGATATGGCTGTAGATGATGGCTAGGGAGGTATCCAGACTGTAAAAACAACAGCCAGGGAGATATGGCTGTAGATGATGGCTAGGGGAGGTATCCAGACTGTAAACAACAGCCAGGGAGATACGGCTGTAGATGATGGCTAGGGGAGGTATCCAGACTGTAAACAACAGCCAGGGAGATATGGCTGTAGATGATGGCTAGGGGAGGTATCAGACTGTAAACAACAGCCAGGGAGATATGGCTGTAGATGATGGCTAGGGGAGGTATCCAGACTGTAAACAACAGCCAGGGAGATATGGCTGTAGATGATGGCTAGGGGAGGTATCGAGACTGTAAACAACAGCCAGGGAGATATGGCTGTAGATGATGGCTAGGGGAGGTATCCAGACTGTAAACAACAGCCAGGGAGATATGGCTGTAGATGATGGCTAGGGGAGGTATCGAGACTGTAAACAACATGCCAGGAGATATCCAGACTGTAGATGATGGCTAGGGAGGTATCCAGACTGTAAACAACAGCCAGGGAGATACGATGATGTAGATGATCCAGCTGTAGGGAGTTATATCAGACTGTAAACAACAGCCAGGGAGATACGGCTGTAGATGATGGCTAGGGGAGGTATTCAGACTGTAAACAACAGCCAGGGAGATATGGCTGTAGATGATGGCTAGGGGAGGTATCGAGACTGTAAACAACAGCCAGGGAGATACGGCTGTAGATGATGGCTAGGGGAGGTTTGCAGACTGTAAACAACAGCCAGGGAGATACGGCTGTAGATGATGGCTAGGGGAGGTTTGCAGACTGTAAACAACAGCCAGGGAGATACGGCTGTAGATGATGGCTAGGGGAGTTATTCAGACTGTAAACAACAGCCAGGGAGATACGGCTGTAGATGATGGCTAGGGGAGGTATGCAGACTGTAAACAACAGCCAGGGAGATACGGCTGTAGATGATGGCTAGGAGGTAGATGATGGCTAGGGAGGTTTGCAGACTGTAAACAACAGCCAGGGGAGATATGGCTGTAGATGATGGCTAGGGAGTTATTCAGACTGTAAACAACAGCCAGGGAGATACGGGCTGTAGATGATGATGGCAGACTGTAAACAACAGCTAGGGGAGTTATTCAGACTGTAAACAACAGCCAGGGAGATACGGCTGTAGATGATGGCTAGGGGAGGTTTGCAGACTGCAGAACAGCAAGTAGAGATGTTACCTTAATGTAACTGTAGAAGTGCCTGAAATGTAGCCTGCATGAAAATGTTTACTCATGATAGGATTTTGCTATACCTGGTTCCATACATGTTCATTGAATAGTTTAGTGCAGGTCTCTGGGACACAGTTGTTGTTTTTTCATGATAACTGCAAGAGAAGGGCTGAATGTTATTGTGACTTGTATTGACAGGCATCCATGACTACATCTCCCGTGTAGAGTCATGTGATCTCCGCTCCGTGGCCCGTGCGGAGGAGGGAGGAGGAGAGAGCACTAGACGTATAGTGGTTAGAAAGAAACATGTTTTCCCTGGCTGGAGAGTTTGTACGCATGTTTCAGTGTTCCCCCACCCTATCTACCTGTGTTGTGTGCTGTTACACGTTAAATGTTGTGCACTGTTTGATGTGTGGACTCACTGTTGTGTTTCATCCCTGCATGCATGTGACACGGGGACACCACAGTTTTACTTACAAGAGTTCACGGATGATTTCTTAGCCTCACATTTTGTTTCACTGTGACAGGTCAGTCATATAGGCAGGGTTCTGTTGACAAATGGACAAACTTGAACAACATACTGTGTTCAAGAACTTGCAGAAGGCTTGCAGCATAGCCAGCCATGAAGATATGAGTACTGGGAAGGTGACCAACCAACTTTTTGACCAACCAATAGAAGGCTTTCTTTGAAACTGGGATACAATTTGTTCTAACTTTGTTTCAATGTCGAAGGGGACAATATTGAAGCTTTATTTTTATTTGAGGCTCAGAATTTATCAATCCCTCCATACCTTGGTGTGTAGTTACACACAGGACCAGGAGCTGTGATAGGTGTTCCTACAGCTGTGATAGGTGTTCCATCAGCTGTGACTGATGTTCCTACAGCTGTGATAGGTGTTCCATCAGCTGTGACTGATGTTCCTACAGCTGTGACTGATGTTTCTACAGCTGTGATAGGTGTTCTGAATCTGTGATAGGTGTTCCAGCAGCTGTGACTGATGTACCTGAAGCTGTGATAGGTGTTCCTGCAGCTGTGATAGGTGTTCCTGTAGCTGTGTTAGGTGTTCCTGCAGCTGTGATAGGTGTTCCTGCAGCTGTGTTAGGTGTTCCTGCAGCTGTGTTAGGTGTTCCTGCAGCTGTGTTAGGTGTGCATGTGTGATGAAGTTGTTCAACTAAGTCAAGTTATACATCTGGACAGATTTTGACTACTGAAGTGTTTATGTAAGTGACTGTGTTTTGTGTCATATATTAACTGTGTGTGATAATTATTCCTATAAACCACTGAAATTGTGAGCACATATGAGTTCCCCAAATGATATACTTTAGTGTTACAGACTTGCCAGATTATATGTTGCCGTATTCATCCAACTGGTAAAATATTGGATAAAACATTGCTTTAACTCTTCCAAACTTTGCCTCTCTTGATGTGCAAGTTTAGTTGTTAGTTGGTTTGTTGTTTGACGTCGCTCTCACCAATATTCCAGTTATATGGCGGCGGTCTGTAAATAATCAAGTCTGGACCAAACAATCCAGTGATCAAGATCAGGAGCAGCAATCTACATAATTGGGATACAATTACAGTTTTGGTTTGTGGGCGTGACCAGTGGTTAAGCAGAGATGTATGTGTAGATCTGCCCGCATGGACCTGACCGCTTCATGCTGTCACGGTGTTCCAGGCTTCCTGATTCCATCCAGTAATTGTTAACATTTGAAGTGCTTGTTTTGAAACTAATCTGTTTTTTTAATATTATGTATAATTTGATATATCACCTTACTAACAATTCAAAGTCTGATAAGTTCATATTTTGGTGTTGGAAGATCGTGTTCCCTCGTCACACAGTGTTAAAGTCATCTCGCAGGTCCATGAAGCCGTTATGTACGCCACGATCTCGTACGCCACGAACTTGATGTGGTTCAAATATTTCTGAAACCAGCATCACACAAATTACATTACACTCAGCAAAACTAATTTGGAACCAAATGACTGTAGAAACAAAGTAAGTGTGAGTTGTTGTACGGATGTACTGATGGAGTGTGTGTGGCCTGCAGGTTGTCCCGAGATCACCGCCCCTGTGAAGGATGTTGACGTGAGGGAGGGGGAGGATGTGGTGCTGGAGTGTGAGTTGTTGTACGGATGTACTGATGGAGTGTGTGTGGCCTGCAGGTTGTCCCGAGATCACCGCCCCTGTGAAGGATGTTGACGTGAGGGAGGGGGAGGATGTGGTGCTGGAGTGTGCTGCCACAGCCGACCCTACGCCTTCCGTCACGTGGTATCTGGGGTACCAGCAGATAGATGGGGACGATTATCGGTGTCACACAGACTTTGATGAAGTCAGTGGTAAGGCCACCCTCACCATCAGCAGTGCCCAAACCACGGACAGTGGTCAATTTCGCTGTGTCTTCACCAATCAGCATGGAGAGGCAGAGACCAAGAACTCCGTCACAGTCAAGAGTGAGTGCCTCTTGCCAGGAGTCAACAATATAACCTTAGATATCGATGCCTGTGTCAGTTAATGTTGAGTGTTAATGCAGATGTATGTTGGATTGTGGTAGTATTTTAGAAGTATTTTTTCTAACCTGTATCTCTTGCCAATGCATAAAGTCAAGCATAATGTCACAAGTATATAACTATATATCTTCCTGCAGCCCAGTTCCATGTCTGGTTTCCAGCTGTTTACATCCATCCTTCCCACTCCACCATCCACACAGTACTCCCCACCGTTTCCTTCCTGTTGGTCATCTAGCATAATTCCAATCTATTCCCTCTCCCACAATTATTACTATGTAGTCTATTATAGTCACCTGCATGATATTTAACGTTGTGGGATTTCCAGAGAGACCTGAGAAAGCCCCTGTGTTTTCCGTGTGTCTGCATGATGAGACCGTGATAGAGGGACACTCCATTACCTTGGCCTGCACAGTGGCAGATGCGGAGACCATTGGCTGGTACAAGGACGGCTTTGTCCAACGCAACTCCTCAGACTTCAAGCAGAGCTATGACGGGGGATGTTGCCCGTCTCGAGATAGGAGAAATCTTTCTGGATGATGTTGGGGAATATGCCTGTGTTGCTCGCAATGAGTTGGGGGAAGATCGAACAGCATGCCAAATAACTGTCACAGGTAGCATTTCGTCACCTTCCACAGTTTGACTGACTAACTGAATATTTTAGAATTAGAATCTTCCTTATTTTGGAAATGGACCATCCACAGTTCGCTGATGGTAGCTAAATTGTGAAGAACATGAATCAGACTTATTTTAGAATTGGAATTTCAGTACTGTACGCCACTAAGCTAATACTTTATATCAAGATGTTTTGGAAACAGAGAATGATATATTGCATGACCTGAATATTAACTTCAATCTTCATGCATGTATGCATGTGGATATGGATATGCATGCTGATATGTCTTGTTACAGAACACTTTTATCTACATTCCCATTTCAAGCATATCTGCATGAATTATAGCCTCTTTGTAATATTCAAGTTCTAGTTTTGCTATGTACCCTTTTTGCATCAAGACCTGGTTACATATATTTGTGACATACTATATGCTGTGACATGTGACATGTGACTGCTGGTTTCAGCCTGTGACTCAGAGACATCCGTCGTTCCCATGTTCCTCACAAAGTTCACCAAGACTGTCATCAAGGTAGGGGACAAGCTCATCCTGGAGTGTGATGTTATTGGGTCGCCAGAACCGGACATCAGCTGGACCAAAAATGGTCGCCCGCTGCGGGATGACTGCCCATATAACCAAATGTATGATGGACGAACAGCCAAACTGGAAATAGAGGACGTCACTTCTGATGATTCTGGGAGATATGAATGCATCGCTGGCAATGAAGCTGGCCGGGTGTCGCTGGATGCAAGTGTCGCAGTGCAGGGTAAGATTAACCGTTGTACATGTAGGCACTTCGAAGCATTCAATTCATACCCCTTGTTACAATTTACTCATGTTGTAGATGTTTGATCTCAGCGAGACTATACATATATTGTGTTACTATTTCAGTGAAGGACAAGCCTCCATGTGTGACGGTTCCGCTGTGTGATGTGTACAGTAAAGCAGGTGAGAGTGCCACCTTAACTTGTCACATCGTAGGCATTCCTCAGCCCAGCATCCAATGGAGGAAGAATGGAATGATGATTGGGCACACCAAGGACTTTAAACAGACGTATGATGGCAGCTGTGTGACACTGGACATCTGTGGTGTGTGTCACCAAGACAGTGGGCGGTATGAGTGTGTTGCCCACAGTAAACTGGGAGAGACTTCAACCACGTGTCTACTGACAGTGAAAGGTGGGTGAATCCTGCTTCCCTGTGGTTATGTTGACAGATCGGGTGTAGAAGGTGGGTGAATCCTGCTTCCCTGTGGCTATGTTGACAGATCGGGTGTAGAAGGTGGGTGAATCCTGCTTCCCTGTGGTTATGTTGACAGATCGGGTGTTCAAGGTGGGTGAATCCTGCTTCCCTGTGGTTATGTTGACAGATCGGGTGTAGAAGGTGGGTGAATCCTGCTTCCCTGTGGTTATGTTGACAGATCGGGTGTAGAAGGTGGGTGAATCCTGTAGAAGGTGGGTGAATCCTGCTTCCCTGTGGTTATGTTGACAGATCGGGTGTAGAAGGTGGGTGAATCCTGCTTCCCTGTGGTTATGTTGACAGATCGGGTGTAGAAGGTGGGTGAATCCTGCTTCCCTGTGGTTATGTTGACAGATCGGTGTAGAAGGTGGGTGAATCCTGCTTCCCTGTGGTTATGTTGACAGATCGGGTGTAGAAGGTGGGTGAATCCTGCTTCCCTGTGGTTATGTTGACAGATCGGGTGTAGAAGGTGGGTGAATCCTGCTTCCCTGTGGTTATGTTGACAGATCGGGTGTAGAAGGTGGGTGAATCCTGCTTCCCTGTGGTTATGTTGACAGATCGGGTGTAGAAGGTGGGTGAATCCCGCTTCCCTGTGGTTATGTTGACAGATCGGGTGAAGGTGGGTGAATCCTGCTTCCCTGTGGTTATGTTGACAGATCGGGTGTAGAAGGTGGGTGAATCCTGCTTCCCTGTGGTTATGTTGACAGATCGGGTGTAGAAGGTGGGTGAATCCTGCTTCCCTGTGGTTATGTTGACAGATCGGGTGTAGAAGGTGGGTGAATCCTGCTTCCCTGTGGTTATGTTGACAGATCGGGTGTAGAAGGTGGGTGAATCCTGCTTCCCTGTGGTTATGTTGACAGATCGGGTGTAGAAGGTGGGTGAATCCTGCTTCCCTGTGGTTATGTTGACAGATCTTCCCAGATCGGGTGTAGAAGGTGGGTGAATCCTGCTTCCCTGTGGTTATGTTGACAGATCGGGTGTAGAAGGTGGGTGAATCCTGCTTCCCTGTGGTTATGTTGACAGATCGGGTGTAGAAGGTGGGTGAATCCTGCTTCCCTGTGGTTATGTTGACAGATCGGGTGTAGAAGGTGGGTGAATCCTGCTTCCCTGTGGTTATGTTGACAGATCGGGTGTAGAAGGTGGGTGAATCCTGCTTCCCTGTGGTTATGTTGACAGATCGGGTGTACAAGGTGGGTGAATCCTGCTGGTTATGTTGACAGATCGGGCTTCACTGTGGGTTATGTTGACAGATCGGGTGTAGAAGGTGGGTGAATCCTGCTTCCCTGTGGTTATGTTGACAGATCGGGTGCAGAAGGTTTCACGGAAGCAGTAAATGTCTAAGACTGTAAACACTTTGTGCTCAGCTCCTCCGTTAAACAGATATGCCATGATACAAAATGAATATTTTACAAAGGTGCATAAATCTCACTCACACTAAAGTCACTCAATGTATGGAACTTTTCCCAAACAATGACTCAGTGTGAGGTATAAAAATATGGCTCCATAATCCACTGGATGCATTGCCTAAGTGACAAGATAGATAGGACACTTTTTTGTTGTTATTGTGACAATTGATTCTGTTTTCCTGCAGACACAGCAACCGGGAAAGAATCAGCATTATCACCAGCTCCTCCCATCACAAGATCTGTAACACCACCACAAACCATCACTGGTCTAGCCAGGTCTGCTTCTACCTCACAGCGGAGTAGTCATGGACCTCTGCACCTGTCGTCTCCCACAGGCCCTACAGCTTCACACAATATCAGTAGCAGTTCCGTGGGGCAGACATCTTCCAAGACATCCACTAATGTAGTGTCACCCTTGGTCTCGCCTTCAGCATTGCCAACCCACATTATAGGGAAGGCTCTCACAAGGTCAGCTTCCATGACCATCAGTACCGTAGTCTCATCTGCAACCCCTGTCATGGCTTCTCCATCATCTCCAGTGCCAGCAGATATTAGTGGGAATGCTATCACACTGTCATCTTCCAAAATGTCTACAAATTTAGCCTCTGCTTCTACTACTCTCACAAGATCAGCTTCCCAGAGATCTGTCACGGTGATATCCTCTTCTCCAGAATCTTCTCCCTCCAGTCCATTGTCATCTCATGTCCTTGGTAAAGCCATCACAAGGTCCGCCTCACAGATCGTTACATCGTCCTCTCAGAGCAGCTCATCACCACCACAGAGCATTATTGGAAAAGCTCTGGAAACTCTAGCTGCCAAGTCACCTTCACGGCATCAGAATGTTAGTAGATCAATGTCCTCACCAACCAATACTCAAGTAGAAACATCTACAAAGCCACCAACTGGCCCTGTTGATGACCCTTCACTAATAAAGAGAAACATTCCAAGTACTGAATCCATCTCTGTTCCTGCAAGGTCCAATCCTCTCAATACCATTGGTAAATTCCTGGCTATGTCTGCAGCTAAGGACTTACAGCCATCATTCCCTATCCGGACTACACTAGATAGTCCCACAGAAGGAGGCCCAGTACCAGTCTCACCAACACAGCCCCAGGAGAAAGGCCCCATTCAGAAGGCTCCAAGTCCATCTACTTCACAGACACAGCCACTGTCTAAAGTGCAGCAGCTACGTTTGCAGTTCTTAGGCGAGGCTGGCCAGACCCAAACCAATAAAGTCAGCAGTGCACCAATCAGAAGATGGCATTCCCTTCCTCCACAAGACCTCAAGCCAGTCATTGTCAAGGTCAGTATATTTCTTTCATACTTAGTACATGCATGTGCAAACAATGAACCATATATATGGTTGTTATAACCCTATGACACTGACACCTGTAATGGTAATGTTTTACTCCAATACCAGGTCTGTTTATACCACTTAGTTTACACATTCCACTCCAACACTGATGTGGAAACGCTCCAATGTTTTACTCCAATACCAGGTCTGTTTACACCACTTAGTTTACACATTCCACTCCAACACTGATGTGGAAACGCTCCAATGTTTTACTCCAATACCAGGTCTGTTTACACCACTTAGTTTACACATTCCACTCCAACACTGATGTGGAAACGCTCCAATGTTTTACTGCGATACCAGGTCTGTTTACACCACTTAGTTTACACATTCCACTCCAACACTGATGTGGAAGCGCTTCCAATGTTTTACTCCAATACCAGGTCTGGTTATACCACTTAGTTTACACATTCCTCTCCAACACTGATGTGGAAACGCCTCAATGTTTTACTCCAATACCAGGTCTGTTTATACCACTTAGTTTACACATTCCACTCCAACACTGATGTGGAAACGGCTCCAATGTTTTACTCCAATACCAGGTCTGTTTACACCACTTAGTTTACACATTCCACTCCAACACTGATGTGGAAACGCTCCAATGTTTTACTCCAATACCAGGTCTGTTTATACCACTTAGTTTACACATTCCACTACAACACTGATGTGGAAACGCCCAATGTTTTACTCCAATACCAGGTCTGTTTATACCACTTAGTTTACACATTCCACTCAACACTGATGTGGAAACGCCCAATGTTTTACTCCAATACCAGGTCTGTTTATACCACTTAGTTTACACATTCCACTCCAACACTGATGTGGAAACGCCTCAATGTTTTACTCCAATACCAGGTCTGTTTACACCACTTAGTTTACACATTCCACTCCAACACTGATGTGGAAACGCTCCAATGTTTTACTCCAATACCAGGTCTGTTTACACCACTTAGTTTACACATTCCACTCCAACACTGATGTGGAAACGCTCCAATGTTTTACTCCAATACCAGGTCTGTTTACACCACTTAGTTTACACATTCCACTACAACACTGATGTGGAAACGCTCCAATGCTTTACTCCAATACCAGGTCTGTTTATACCACTTAGTTTACACATTCCACTCCAACACTGATGTGGAAACGCTCCAATGTTTTACTCCAATACCAGGTCTGTTTATACCACTTAGTTTACACATTCCACTCCAACACTGATGTGGAAACGCTCCAATGTTTTACTCCAATACCAGGTCTGTTTATACCACTTAGTTTACACATTCCACTCCAACACTGATGTGGAAACGCTCCAATGTTTTACTCCAATACCAGGTCTGTTTACATCACTTAGTTTACACATTCCACTCCAACACTGATGTGGAAAAGCTCCAATGTTTTACTCCAATACCAGGTCTGTTTATACCACTTAGTTTACACATTCAACTCCAACACTGATGTGGAAATGCTCCAATGTTTTACTCCAATACCAGGTCTGTTTATACCACTTAGTTTACACATTCCACTACAACACTGATGTGGAAATGCTCCAATGTTTTACTCCAATACCAGGTCTGTTTATACCACTTAGTTTACACATTCCACTCCAACACTGATGTGGAAACGCTCCAATGTTTTACTCCAATACCAGGTCTGTTTACACCACTTAGTTTACACATTCTACTCCAACACTGATGTGGAAACGCTCCAATGTTTTACTCCAATACCAGGTCTGTTTACACCACTTAGTTTACACATTCCACTACAACACTGATGTGGAAACGCTCCAATGTTTTACTCCAATACCAGGTCTGTTTACACCGCTTAGTTTACACATTCCACTACAACACTGATGTGGAAACGCTCCAATGTCTATCTTGGTTCTGTGGTTTGTAAGATGTGACAATATTTTACATTTGTCAGAGTACACAAAGTATGTGATCTAGACTACCAGCCTTCCATGTTTGTGGAAGCTGCAGTAGGTTAGATCACTGTGTTTGTGTGTTTGAGATTAGGTGCCTGACTCGGAGAGTCTTGGTTTGAATCCCGGAGTGGACTTTTTGACTGTTCAAGTACTAGAATCTGTACTAAGCTGAGAACGTGTAATCACAACACTCGCGTATGTTTCATTTGACCGCTTTCTAAATGACATTGTGCATTCTTTACATGATGCATATCTGTGGGTTGTTTGTCGATTATCAGTAATATGTATTTTTCTGGTAAGATATGTACTTTTGTACAGCATTAATCTATTATGTGAGTGGAAACAGAACAGTGTTCTTGATACATGCAATTACAGGTGTATTTATCCATCACCCCTTGTCAAGGGAGATAACCTGGTAGTTACTGAGAGAGAAGGCAGTCCCATCCTCTGCTACCAGAAGGAATTTGGAGAAAAGTGTATAAATACAAACTTTCTGGTTGTCTTCTCATGTGTTTTAACAATTGCCTATTTTATGAAACAAATTCACACTTACTGTTTTCCATTGCCATGGTAAAGTAACTATATAAAGATATAGTGATCTAAATAAAACGATCTACTCAATGACAAAACTTGAATGCCTTCTTAACAGAAATGCTCTTCTAAAGATTATTTACACAATTGTCAGAAGACCTCATTTTGAGACAGGTTTGGAATGACTATCAAAAGGTTGAAGAATGAGAAATTTGTCTGTATTTTATAATATTCACAACAACAACAACAACAACAACAACAACAAAGTTAAGATCCTATTGATTATGGAACAATTCATCGTCATAAGTAAGAAATTGTACTTCATTATGAAAATTCAAATTGAGTTTAAGAACATCCAATCTGTCAGCTCCACTGTACTCTTCTCACGATATTAGAAAATGTACTTCTTTGTATAAGCTAATCAAAAGATTCCAGTGGTTTTCTCACTCTGAAAGTTTTATGTCATATTTCCCTTCAACTGTCAATCGACATCAATGCTGTTTCTAATAGTTCCTCATAGAAAAGGTATTTTACCATTTATGAGTGTTGTAGATGGAATAGATAAATGGTTGTGGGAATTGGTGACGTGGCAGAAGTAAGATGACTTTGGTGAAATGGTAGACTGACTGACTGAGTTTGGTTTTACGCCGCTTTTAGCAATATTCCAGCAACATCATGGCGGGGGACACCAGATATGGGCTTCACACATTGTACCCATGCGGGGATTCGAACCCGGGTCTCCGGCGTGACAAGCCAACGCTTTTAACCACTGGTCTACCCCACCAACCCTGAGATGGTAGAAGTGAGTGAGATGGTAGGAGTGAGTGAGATGGTAGAAGTGAGTGAGATGGTGGTAGCAGTGAGTGAGATGGTAGCAGTGAGTGAGATGGTAGCAGTGAGAGAGATGGTGGTAGCAGCAGGAGTGAGATGGTGGGAGTAGTGAGAGTGAGTGAGATGGTAGGAGAGTGAGTGAGAGATGAGGTAGTGAGATGAGAGATGAGATGGAGAGGTGAGAGAGAGATGGTAGAGTGAGTGAGAGTGAGAGAGAGAGGAGTGAGATGGTAGGATTGGAGAGTGAGATGGAGGAGTGAGAGATGGTAGAAGTGAGTGAGATGGAGGAAGTGAGGAGATGAGTGAGGAGGAGGAGTGGAGTGAGAGTGAAGTGGTGAGAAGTGAGAGAGATGAGAGTAGGAGTGAGTGAGAGAGAGTGGTGGATGGTAGGAGTGAGAGATAGAGGAGTGAGAGGAGTGAGATGGTGAGTGAGATGGTAGATCGAGAGAGATGGAGAGGAGACGGAGGAGTGAGATGAGATGGTGAGAAGGTAGAAGTGAGAAGTGATGGATGGAGAGTAGGAGATGGTAGAGGTGAAATGGGTGAGGTGGAAAGGGAACAGGCTGATATTGTATAAGAAGTGCTTGAAATAGAAGAAGAAATAGGTGCGATGGTAGGTGAAATATATGAGATGGTAGTGGATGAGATTGGAGATAGGATAAGAAATGGGAAATTGGTAAGTGAGTGAGGTGGAATGGTAGGAGTGAGTGAGAGGGATGGGTCTGATATTGTATAAGAAGTGCTTGAAATAGAAGGAAAAATGGGTGAGATGGAAGGATGAGTGGTTGAGATGATAGACAAAATAGGTGAGATGGAAGGAGAAATAGGTGAGATGCAAAAGTGGGTGAAATAGTCTTTGAGGTGGTATGGAGAGTTGTACAGATGGTAGAAGAGGATGAGTTGATATATATAGTAGATTGTTATAGAAATATCTAAAAGTATGTGAAAAAGACATGAAGAGCATGTTCCTACTCTGGCTTAGTGAAGTGGATAAGATGTGTAAGAATAGTATTAGATGGCTCTTATGGGTGAAAAACATTGTTATTTTGGTATGTGATGCCAAGGAAAAGTAAAGATGAATGACAATATCTGATAGGGAAATTATGTGACATGGAGAATGAAGGTAAATATACTGAAAGCCATTAAAAATGCAATTTGACATTCATACTTTCTTTACTCACACTAATTTCAACATATAGAAACCTAACTGGCAGATATGTTTTAAGTGAACATCTGTGAATAATTTCATCTGAAAATGTCCTGTCAACAACAACATCAGTGACGCAACGACATCACACAAAGGAGGGGTCACTTGCAGTCAATATCGTGTGTGTCCACCGTGCGCTGCAAGACATGCTCGCAGTCTTTGGGGCATTGAAAGACACACATTTCTCAGGAACAGCTGTTGGATGGTCTGCAGCCTCTGATGGTCTGTGGTCTGATCATGACACCACCCCCTCCAAAACGATCATGTTCAAGGACGCAGTTTGGCGCAAGTCTTTCTCCTTTACGTCGATAAATCTGTTGACGTCCATCTGCAAAGGATAAGTTAAACCTGGATTCATCTGAAAAAAATGACATTTGGCCATGTCCTGTTGCCAAGATTGGCCCCATTTGCTGCCCGTCGCTGTCTGGCAAGTCTGTGGCGGTGCAATAAGGTTGGACCAAG